TTCTCGAAAAGAGTAGGGGTGTAACCCCGGCGTCCTGGCCAAATTTCCCATTGGCCCTTACCCATCATGGCCTCCTAATAATCCCCCTCTCTGAACTGGCTTCATCCCTCTGCTCTCCTCCCCACTGAGAGCTGGAGTGTGGGGAGCGTTCTGGCGCACTATGGCTCAACCAACACTTTCACATTCCAAAATTGAAAAATCGGGCCACAAAATGTGTTACTTTGGAAAAGGGGGTGTGGACTTTCTATAGGCACTCAATAAAAAAAACAATTTCAATCCATCAGGTCAAGCTTTCAGCTAAATACAGTATAATATCATCATAACAGTCTATAGGTTTTTTCTTCCACCAGCAATGTGTAGCACCCCGCTGAATTATATAGATACAGTATCTAAATTCATACTATCATATCTATTTGGTAAATGCTACACCCTAACATTTTCTCAGCGTATTTTCTATGAGTTTCTGAAAGAAGCAGGATTTTCATTAATTAACACTTAGCGGTTCAATGTGCCGTTGTGGATAATGTTTTATCACGACGGTCTCCGTTCTATTTGGTCGTGAGAGTCGTTTTCCCTCCTCGCTGAATGTGTGTAATTCATCAGTACGTTCACGCGAGCGCAATTTGACCTGAGCCCTAATGATCACGACACACCAAAACGGCTCAAATGAATTGCCAGTATTCATTAGTCTCAGCAATTAGAGCAGTTGATATTGGTTAATACTGATGATCCATTTTCTAACCACTTAATCGGGTACAGGGTTATGGGAGGGTGCCGAAGCCTATCCCAGCAAGCAGCGGGCGCAAGGCAGGGTTCACCCTGGATGGGACACCAGTCCATCACAGGACACACACACTCTCACACACCAGCGTTAATTTCCCCAGAAGCCCATTTAATCATCAGCATGTCTCTGGACTGTGAGGGGAAACCCATGCTAACACAAGGGGAACATGCAAACTCCACACAGACAGCACCCCTGGACTTGAACCGACAGCCACGGAGCTGTGTGTGTGCCAGATAGCGGAGCCAAAATATATTGTCCAAGGTCAGAACAAGGTCCATTCTCCTGGCACAAGATCTGAGGAAGAGGAGGGCGATGGTGGTGATGTTCCTTCTCTCTGTGCCTTGATCAGCTGTGTTTCCCTGCCTCTCCTGGTGCTCAGAAAAGTAGATTGTTTGTCATGAAGTCAGACTATGAAAGCTGAACTTTGTCCCCCAAAATTTAAAAAATGTTCTGTTTTTTTTATTATTAGTTATTTCAAGATTTATTTTGAGAGTCAATCTCCTGGACGATACACCCCAGAGTAAGTATTCTTCAATCGGGACATTCGGTGACCCATAAACAGCACAGCTCCTGAATGCCAGCAAATATTTTAGCATCCGGGGTGGTTTGAGACCTGGGGGGGGGGGGG